CAGTCTGGTCATTCTCACTTCTAAGGAGCATTCTGGCTGTACTCCTTTCAAGACAGATTTCTTCATTCTTCTTCACCAACACCATAATTCAAAGGCATCAGTTCTTCTTTGATCTTCCTAATTCCTTCCTTCTTTGGTCCAGCTTTCACATGCATCTGATATGATGGAAAATACCATGATTTGGAGCAGGCAAACCTTAGTCTTCAAAGTGACATCTTTGCTCTTTAACACTTTAAAGAGATCTTTTGCAGTAGATCTGCCCAGTGAAGAATGTCATCTGATTTCTTCACTGCTGCTTCCATGGGTGTGTTGATTGTGGATCCAAGTAAATGAAATCCCTGACAACTTTAATCTTTTCTCTGTTTGTCATGATATTGCTTATCAGTCCAGTTGTGAGGATTTTTGTTTTCTTTACATTGAGGTGTAATCTATACTGAAGGCTGTAGTCTTTGATCTTCATCAGTAAGTGCTTCAAGTCATCTTCACTTTCAGCAAGTAAAGTTGTGTTGTCTGCATATCACAGGTTGTTTATGAGTCTCCCTCCAATCCTGATGCCAGATTCTTCATATCGTCCAGCTTCTCGGATTATTTGCTCAGTGTACAGATTGAATAAGTGTGGTGAAAGGATGCAGCCCTGGTGCCCACCCTTCCTGATCTTAAACTATGCATTATCCCCTCTTCTGTTCGAAGGACAGCCTCTTGATCTATGCACAGGTACCTCATGAGCACAGTTAGGGGTTCTGGAATTCCCATTCTTTGCAATGTTATCTATAATCAGTTATGATCCACACAATTGAATGCCTTTGTATACAGTCAATAAAACACAAGTAAACATGTTTCTGGTATTCTTTTCTTTCAGCTAAGAGCCATCCAACATCAGCAGTGATATCCCTCGTTCCATTCTTCTGAATCCAGCTTTAATTCCTGGAAATTCCCTGCCAATACAGCTATAACCATTATTTGATTATCTTCACTGAAATTTTACTTACATGTGATATTAATGATATGATTTGATAATTCCCATGTTCTGTTGGACCATCTTTCTTTGGAATGGGCACAGATAGGGATCTTTTCCAGTTAGTTGGCCACGTAGCTGTCTTTCAGGTTTCTTGGCATAAGTGAGTGACCACCTCCTGCACTGCATCCATTTGTTGAAACATCTCAGTGGGTATTTCATCAATTCTGGAAGCCTGTGCCAATTCCTTCAGTGCATCTTGGACTTATTTCTTCAATACCATCATATGGAACCTCCTGAAATAGCTGAACATCAACCAATTGCTTTTTATGTAGTGACTCTGTGTATTCCTTCCTTTTCTTTTCATGCTTCCTGCGTCATTCTAAATTTTGCCTGTACCCAAACCAAAAAAACCAAACTCACTGCCATCGAGGTGATTCCAACTCATAGTGACCTCTCCTTGGGTTTCTAAGGTGGTATCTCTACAGAAGTAGATTGCTCAGTCTTCCTTCCAAGGTATGGCAGGTGGGTTTGAACCACCAGCCTTCTGGTTAGCAGTCAGGTGGTGGGCACTATGCCACCAGAGCTCTTATTTTGTCTGTAGCATCTTTCGATATTGCCACTTGATGCTTGAATTTTTCTTCAGTTCTTTAAGCTTGAGAAATGCCAGGCATGTTGTTCCCTTTTGGATCTAGTGCCTATCCAATAGAATTGTGATGAGATTTCAATGCAACCGTTTTGTGATGTGTTTAGCATAGTACCTGGCACACAGTGCCAAGTGAATGTTAGCTAGTGTAGCACCTGGCCCCTTGTCTAGTGAGTGTTAACTAGCATAATACCTGGCACATGGTGCCGAGTGAATGTTAACTAGCATAATACCTGGCACCTGGTGTTGAGTAAATGTTAACTATTATAAATTCCATCATCAAGGAGCTCAGGAGATAATGGGGGGATACATGACAGGGCAGCAAATGGGACCTCACTGTCATGGACCTGTGGACCACAGCATAGAAGAACAGAGGCGTGGGGGCCACTTCCTGCCTGGGGAAGCAGGGTAGAGGTTACTGAACAAAATTTGCAGGAATTATGGAAAGAGGATTTTAGGTAAGAATAGGGGTTGTTATGAGTCGGATCCAACTCGACAGCAGTGAGTTTGGTTTGGTTTTTATAGCAGATGCAGTGGCCTAGGAGCATGTGAGGACAAGGTGCCTCCTGGTGATGCAGGGGAGAAAGTGCCATGTGTTGAGTGGGTGGATGTTCAGAGGGAGTGCTGGAGGTGTACGTTGGGGCCAGGCTTGGAGGGGCTCAGGGTGTGCGTGCTGTGTGTGGAACGTGGGTCCCCTTCTGCAGGTCATGGGGCTTTAGCAGGAAACACTGTAATTCAGATGCATCAGTTCTTTGGTCTTCCTTATGCACTGTCAACTTTCACAAGCAGACAAGGCTATGCCGTGGCTTGGGTCAGGTGCACTGTAGTCTGCAGAGGGACATGTTTGCTTTTTAACACTCCAAATATGATATATGATAGTCCTTAGTAGAACAGTAATACTGTTTTTCAAAGGTCAGAAATTCTAAATTTGTGTCTAAATCAGTCCACTTCTTTCCATCTCCTAGGAAAGTGCTGTTTCAAATACTGAAATGCAAATGTCCTGTAATTTGTTTTAATGCGAAGGATTTTGTGAGAACTGTGCTCCAGGCTTTTGGTGACAGTGGCCGCTGGAAGCAGGGTGAGTGATAGTTTCTGTGATCTGCTAAATGTAGCTCTCCAACAGTGGTGCTCCCTGGGACTGGAAGGGTGACGAGGGCAGCCGTGCATAGCTCCCGGGGCGCCTGGTCACCCGCCTCTGATGACGCCCTGCACGGCCAGGGGCCTTAACGATGAACAGGCTCTTTTCCTCAATGGTTTTAAAGTTTCCCTCTGAATTCTTTGAAATTTTACAAGCATATATTACTTTTGTGGGTTGAAAAAGAAACGAGAATTTATACAGCATCGTTAGAGTGGGATTTGTTGTGACGGCAAATGGCTTATACATTTTCTAAGAATTAAATTATACTCAGGGTAATTAACATCAAAACTATCAGAACATCTTTCATCTTTCTTTTAGAATAATAAAGAAGATTTTTGTAACCTTTTCTACTAGATGGACAGATATGTGATAAAGCAAGTACAGCCAAAATGTCCCTTGTAAAGTCCAGCTGTTGGGTGTGTGAATGTTGGCTGCACTATTCTTTCAACTTTTATTTATGATTAAAAATGTAATAAAACATTGCAAAAAACTCTTGTTATTATAGAACTTTCCCAACATACAAGAGTACCCATTACCCAATACCAATAGTTACCAAGCTGTGTCCAGTCCCCTTTTCTCTATAGCTCTGCACATTTTCAGATCCTTTGCCCCTTGGATAATTTTATAGCAAATCCCAAATGTGATACAGTTAATCTGTAAATACTTCAGTGGGTATGACTAAAATACAAGAATTTCTGCTTTTAAGACAGTACTGCCATCAACCCCCCCAAAAAAAATCAGCAATAGTTTCTTAATGTTATTAGTTAACTGCCAGTATTTACAAATCCCCACTTGTCCTATAAACATTTT